CGAGGGCGGAAGTGGGTGGGGGGACGGAACCTATTGGATACCATCTCAAAGTAGCGAGATGGTTAGAAAGATCAGTACAGAGTACTTTTACCTAGTGGGTTGTACTCTCTAAAGGCATACACCTACCTAGCCTAATATATTGCATACATGGTTAACATATTGCACCGAACACTCCATAGCGAAACATTGCAATTTACCGTTACTGTCCATTAAGCCGTTTTCCTTGGTATAAACAATGGCCTTATAGTCCACATGAATCGCAAAAGTAGCGACACACTCCCAGAAATAACACAGGCAACAAATGCAGCAACAAATGCAAACCTTTTGAGCTCATGTAGGACACCCGAAACCGAGGAGAACAACAACCAAAGCCTACAAAAATCACTGTGCACGTATCCCCTACAATCCCGTTAGGCCCTGGGTTACCAGTACCGCCGATACTCTCCAGCGCGGCTCGGTCATTGACGCGCAGTGTTTCGTGGAAAAGGTGTAGCATTTGTGGGGAGCGTTTCTTCACTGTTGCAGAAAACTTGCCACAAAGTCTTTTATGGTCAATATGGGAACAACGAAAATTGGAGACGATCCAGAGCGTTGAAGACTTTCTCGCAAGTTTCCTACCACAGGGTAGGAACGCGAGCCCTGAGTTTCTAGAGTAGGACTCTCTTTCCGATTTGGAAGGGTAAACATTGAGCCTTCTCTATTGTTTAGGGCTCATTTTCCGTGGCGCATTTTATTCGCATCGTCGCTAAAGCATGATAGAGGCAGGCAGGGTCCGGATTGGGGAGTGCTTGTGGGAGGAATGTTTCTGGCTGTGACGGGCCATGGCTGAATTTCCTGGGTTGCGGGAGATGTGGGAAGCATGTTCCTGGCTGTGGGGGACTTTGCCGAATTTTATAAGTTGTGGGAGGTGTGGGAAGAATGTACTGGTTGTGGGAACTTCACCCGTTTTTCTGGGTTGCGAGTGGTGTAGCCTGTAGGAGGGATGTTCTGTGCCTGTGGGGACTTCGCTGAAATCCTCCACTTTAAGGGAATACAGGTGACTCACGTTTAGGGCACAGGTCTTGCTTTCAGATGAACAAGAACACTGCGTCTGAAATATCACACAGTTTAGAATCAATTTTCTGATCAATCAGATCATCAAGAAATCGATTTCTGGAAAATAAGATAATGCTGAAAAAATAGGTCTGAAAATCAGACCAAGAGACGATTTGTTTCTGATAGCAGGCTCGGCCCAACAATTTAGGTTCAAACTACGTTCGAGCCCCCAAGCCTACACGCGGCGTCGCATTCGACGCTTCCGAGTCCCGAGGCGCCCCAAACCACCTCGCGTGTATTTCATGGCCTTCCTCGAGGCTCCCTTGCTAGGTTAGCTGTGCTTGTATTTATGTAGCCCTATGCTTCATTTGTACTCGACACACTTTAATCACGACCTCACTGTTGCATTACTCGAATCCTATCCAGAGATTATCATAACAACTGGTATCACGTCTACGTTCCTGGCTATTTAGGCTTCCGTAGTGAGGTAGTTTTTAGAGGGAACTCGCACATTAGGAGATGGGAGCTGTCCAGCGGTTGTGCAGGAAATTCTTCAGTTCTGCCGACTTTGTCGTGTGCGCTCCACATCTCTAAGGCTCCAGGTGCCCGAAGTGACTTTAGTGGCGTTAGCTAGTTAGGGTAATTCATGGTCAATAGCCCTCTTCGCCGTAGTACTAGAAATATGAATCCCGAGCAAATAGCTGTATTGTTAGAGGCGGCAGCAAGCGCGTCAGTGCTGACGACGAAGGTCGGCGAGATGATGGCAAAGATGGAGTCCATGGCCCTGAAGCTCGCTGTGTTGAAAGAGGAGAATGTGAGCCTTCGCCAGGCGAGTGGTGCGACGCGTCAGGATTCGCTTGTTACCGTGGACGAAGACCGTGCGAGCGCGCATCAACCGCACGCAACGTCAGCGATACGTGACGACAATTCGAGCGAGCGACGGGCAGTCGTGAAGATAAAATTTGCCATGCCCCCACCGCTCAACCCATTGGAGAAGCACACCACGCTGAGTGGGTGGCTATTTTCCATGGAATTGTTCTTCAATGCCACCGACGTCAACGACGATGAGACACGCGTCAAGTTGGCGGTGTCTTTAGTACGCGGACCTGCACTAAGTTGGTGGCAACAGTACGTGACGTCATGAGGGACTCCGGTAGACCGGCTATAGGTGATGGACGGGGAGCAACGATTGGTTTCGACTTCTACAGGATCCTTGTTTCGTGTGGCCGAGGTCCTTACCTGGCAACAATGGGGTGCACTGCTTCACCGGCGCTTCAAGCATGTATTCGCATGCGAACACGCTCGTGTGAAGCTGCACGGGTGGCGTCAAATGGGTTCTGTGCTGGAGTACACATCATCCTTCCTTGCCATCTGCGAGCAAATTGACGATCAACACGAGACTGTAAAGAAGAGTCGATACATCTTAGGGATGAAGCTGGAGGTCCCGCGCGAAATTCGCATGCGCCGCCCGGCGACATTCTTCGAAGTGCAGCAGGTCGCAGAAGCGTGAGACGAGAACAGTGTATGGCCAAAGACAAATTTCCAGGAGGGAAGCTGTCTTCAAGGGCAGAACATTTAGCCATCCATCAATGGAATGGCAGCACCGTCAGATGACAACTTCTATGGCAGGTGATATAAATGTGGCAGCCGTGGTACATCATGCGAGACTGTCCGGAGGGAGCTAACGACGGGGGGAAGCTGGGAAATGGACAGCATCTGTAGCATTTGGGCCCCCTACTGATAAGGCTTCATCACCCAAAGAGTAGTAATGCCGATCTATACGATCGATCACACCCGGTTAAAGGTGAGTGAACCTGTTAACTGCCCTGTGCTGGTGGAAGGGCGTGTTGGCAGCATGAGATAAAAAATATTTGTGGATGGCGGAGCATCATGCAGTCTGTTCGATGTGACAAGAACGAAAAAACTACAGCTACAAATGGAGAGGTGCATGCCCATGATTAACGCGCGGTTGGTCGACGGCATGCCACTAACTATTCGAAGCGGGTGAAACACATTCACATTGATTATGACAACCAAGTCAGTTTCGCCATGAAGATGCTGGCGACAACGTTGGGCGGCTGCGATTTGCTCCTGCGGCGCGATTGGATCCGAGCATCGTTTGGAGGAATGGCGACATTCGTTTGAAGTGGGGCGGCAAGTGGAGACGACTGCCGAAGTGGAAACCACCTGTGAGAGTACGACCCCGTTACACCAATTTCCCTTTCCATTTCATTCCTCTTTTTATCACATCTCATTTGGTTTCCTATTCCTCCTATTCCATCATCCTTTGTTTATCCAGTTATTATAATTATATCACCGACTAGGCTCGGGATGTACTGGTGCGCTATATCTAGCGTAATCCTTCCGTAATCCTTAAAGCCAATAGCCTCGCGTGGCTATACGCAGGCTGATTCTATTTCTAGAAGGGTCTATTCCCTTTGGATAGGATAAACCTGGTTACCTGATGTACTTTGGAAGTATAAAGCGCCTTGTATCAATCGATAGTGCCACTTTTCCTCAACACATTCGATCCTGTAACACTTGGTAATCATAGCCTTTTCTCACTCAGCCGCGCTTAGCTAAGCAGAAACAGCGGGAAAACCTGCCTCGAAAAACTGCTGGGGGCAACTAATTCGGCGCCGATTCTGGTAAGCACCAGCTCTGCGCTTTTTGAATTAACCCCTCAGCGCGTGTTTTGAACAGGATGGCGAACTTCGACAACGTCGAGGTTACCCAGCAGCTCTTCGCGAGCATCGCCGCCCTTCAGGAGGAGATGCGAGCCGATCGCGAAGCTTGGTGAGACCAGTTCGAGCGAGTAGCTCGACTCGCCGGTGCGCAGCACGATATGACAACGGCGACGACGCAGCAGTTTCTCGAGGCTCTGAAACCGTGACCACCTAAGCCGTTCGATCCGAGCGATCGAAATTCCAACGTCCGCAGATGGATCGTTGGCATGGAGATCTACTTCGCAGTCGTCGGATGGAGCTCGCCAGTCCAGGACGGTCAACGCGTACGACTCGCGGCAACACTGATGCGAGGACCGCTACTTGAGTGGATCGGCGGTAACAGTACCTTCATCCACGGCGAAGCCACGTGGCAGTAGTTCCGCACCGACCTGCTGAAACGCTTCGAGCCGATAAATTTGGGTTTCCTTGCCCGGGAAAAAAATCATCGCCATCGACAGTTCGGGAGTGTAGCGCAGTACACACAACAGATGGAGGAATTTTATAACCGCGTTCCTGACCTAACTGAAGACCGAAGTCAAACGACAGGTAGCAGCGACAAATTACGCGAGCTACAGTGACGTCATTTCGGCAGCAGAGCGGTTTGACATGGTCAACGATGGAACACGACGTGCGCACGTTGGCAGTATGCGATAGGGCGACCGCTCGGCTCACCCCACGTTCGAGGACCCGATGGAAATCGACAGGTTCGATGGGCGGTCACGTCCGAAAAACACCAACTACACGTGTGATTTTTGCGGGGTGCTGGGCCATCGAATATTCGACTGCAACAAAATGAAAGCCGCATGAGCAGAGTATCAGGCATGCAACAGTGGCGGAAATTCTTCGGCCAATTAGGAGACAAAAAACGGAATTTGCTAGTGATTGCGGATCTAGCTGGCGAAAAAAGAAAAGATCCGAAAGCGGCCGCGGGATTTCGAGAAAATCGACTTCAGCGAAGCTGATTCGACGCGAGTAGGTGGAAACGATGGGGAAAAATCTCCACCCCACGACCAGTCTTCGCCATAGAAAATTTCAGAGAAAAATTCTGACTCTGCGAAAAAGGACTCTGCCGAGACGGGGAAACTCCTAGAAGACTGAAGAAATTATAAGGATTTGTTCAAGTTATCTTATAAAGGATGTTTAAAGCAAGAAGCTAAAATAGTGAAGTCTGGCCCAACTTGAAAGAGGGCTCCCTCTGAGCGACTCAACTTGGAAACCAGCTTCAATTAACAACTGTTCTAAAATGGCGCGGGTAGGCAGATCGGAATTTCAGCTCAAAGCTGATTGGTTCCCGCCAAAATGTTCATCGCATGGGCGAAATGCGCGATATGCCATGGCAGCGAATCTGACAACGAATCCGTGTCAGGGGTCGCACTTGTCGATGCGACACTTGCACGGCGAGGGCAAGCGATGGGTTGGGGCTCTCGGATCGAGATGGGCCCAACTCGTTTTTTCAAGTTGGGCCTGGGTTCACAATTGCTGCGGATTCACTACTCCCTTTCCCATGCAAAGCGACATCCAGCTAGCTCATTCTCGCCGAGAAAGCAAGCTAGTTCTGCTAGCTGCCCCACCGCATAGAAACTTAGTGCCGAGGAGCTGTGAGAGAGAATGTGGCGCTGTGGGGGGAGAGAGAGAGAGAGAGAGAGAGAGAGAGAGAGAGGAGAGAGGAGAGAGAGAGAGAGAGAGAGAGAGAGGAGAGAGAGAGAGAGGAGAGAGAGAGAGAGAGAGAGAGAGAGAGAGAGAGAGAGAGGAGAGACGCGGCTAGAGAGGGAGAGACACGGCAAGAAAGGGTGAAACGCGGCGAGAGAGGGAGAGACGCGGCAAGAGAGGGAGGGACGCGGCGAGAGAGGGAGAGATGCGGCAAGAGAGGGAGAGAAGCGGTGAGAGAGGGAGAGACGGGGCGAGAGAGGGAGAGACGCGGCGAGAGAGGGAGAGACGCGGCGAGAGAGGGAGAGACGCGGCAAGAGAGGGAGAGACGCGGCATGAGAGCCAAAGACGCTGCGAGAGAGGGAGAGATGCGGCGAGTCTGGGAGAGACTTGGCGTGAGAGGGAGAGACGCAGCGTGAGCGGGAGAGACTCAGTTAGAAGGAGAGTGGTGCGGATAGATAGAGAGAGGCGGAGGTGCGAAGCGGGAGAGAGTGGCGCAGCGGGAGAGAGAGAGAGAGGAGGAGCGACTCGCGGGAGAGAAAGAGGAGCGCCACGCTCGCTCGCCCATCACTCACCTCTCGCCATGCCACTCCCTTCCCGCTGCGCCACATTCGCTCGCCCGTCACCCACCTCTCGCCATGCCACTCCCTTCCCGTCACGCCAAATTCGCTCGCCCGTCACTCACCTCTTGCCATGCCACTCTCTTCCTGTCGCACCACACTCGCTCGCCCGTCACTCACCTCTCGCCATGCCACGCCCTTCCCGCCGCGCCACACTCGCTCGCCCGTCACTCACCACTCGCCATGCCACTCCCTTCCCGCCTCGCCACACTTGCTCGCCTGCAACGCACATCTCGCCATGCCACTCCCTTCCCGCCACGCCATACTCGCTCGCACGTCACCCACCTCTTGCCATGCCACTCCCTTCCCTCCCCGCCACACTCTCTCGTCCGTGGCTCCCGCCATAAGCGCCTCTCCGTGTCTCCACCTATCTCCCTCTCTCTGCATAGCGCCCCATGTATGATCATATGCCATCAATTTTTGCATTCCCTCTCTCTCTCTCTCTCTCTCTCTCTCTCTCTCTCTCTCTCTCTCTCTCTCTCTCTCTCTCTTTCTCTCTCTCTCTCTCTCTCTCTCTCTCTCTCTCTCTCTCTTTCTCTCTCTCTCTCTCTCTCTCTCTCTCTCTCTCTCTCTCTCTCTCTCTCTCTCTCTCTCTCTCTCTCTCTCTCTCTCTCTCTCTCTCTCTCTCTCTCTCTTTCTCAAATATTTTGCACTGTCTTTGGTGTAATGTTTTGCTTTGCGGTGCCTGGAAGTGACATGCGACGAGGAAATGTGTGCCTTGGCCTTCAAAATATAGCTCTGCAGCTAGTTTCGTTGCAGCGTAGTGAGTGGCTTGTATTATGCGACAATCAAGCAAAATGTCAGTTTGTATTCTTGTCGCAAAGGATCGGCCATATAACAACAATGTGAAAAACAAAAGAAAGCCACAAAAAAAAAAAAAAAAAAAAAAACGTGTCCCACAAGGTTCCAACCAACACACTCTTGACCCGAACTAGTTCAAGTGGGGTCCAACTCGAAGTGGGGGTCATTTTTATAGCCTCTCGCTTTAACGAAAACTTATGATTCTCGAGGGGCTAGAGCCTTGGAGAAATTTCGGGAGGGACTCCAGAAGAAGCAGAAACTTGTGGAGATTATACCGGTACCGGAAAACTTGGGGACAAAATTAAGGAGTGTGGAAAGAAGCCGACCTTTCCACGGAGTCAACGTGCTCTCCCGACACCAGCCCACAACGACTACCCGTTCCCCAGGGAAGACGTCGGTGGAGATGAAGCAGCTCAAGAGGAAGCTGGGGGTCTACAAGAAGCTGCAAAAACCCCAAACTCCTCCTCGGGGTGCATCCAGCTCAGCAAATTCGGCAACAACGACACACACAGTCATCAAGAAAGCTCAGGGTCCTGAGGGAGAAACTTTCTCCAAGCAGCCTCGGCCAGCTGCTAACCCACGAGCAGATAGTGAGAAAACGGTGTGTACGGAATATTGGGATGTACCCTATGATCCCATTAACGAAACTATCTTTGGGCACTCCGAGCAATGCCCGCCCCTCGTGCTCGAGGTCATCTGCAAAGCACGACACCTCCAAGTACTCGTGGACAGCAGAGCACCGCACACCGTCTGCGACAAGGCAGTAATCGACCGACTTCGGGAAGAGTACAAGCCTTCAGTATTCTCTGCAATGATGGTGGACGGCAGCAAGTTACAAGTACACGGCGAAGCAGTGTTACACCTATAAATCGGACCAGTGTACTGGAAACCTGCACTCCCCATCACCAACATAAAAGGGCTTGACTGGATCTTCGTGCAAGACTTCCTAAAAAGATTCAACCCCGAGATCAACTGGGTAAATCGTACCGCAAGCATCTACAACAATGGGAGGAGAGTCCAGCTACCCAACTGGGACGATACAGGAGATATCCCAGTGGAGACACTCACAAGATTCGAGAAGGATATAAAGCAAACCAACACCAGGTTCCTGACGATAGCAACGGATATGGAAAGCGACAGAGAGAAAACCTCGGAACCTCCACAAAAAATCAAGGAATTACTGAAGTTCCAAGACATTCTTCTCGACGACCTTATGAACGAGCTGCCGCCATAAAGAACGCACCCAGGCCTTCTTAGATGTTGTCATTGCGTGCTATTCCACCAACACGCGATCGTGGAAGGAACAGGTTCGAAGCCGACCTTTCGAGCACCATATCGGCTCAGCCCCACGGAGCTAGCCGACATGAAGAAATAGATCGAGTATCTCCTCGCAAAAGAACTCATCCGACCATCTATTTCGCCACACGGTGCCCCAATACTCGTCATGCCGAAACGAGACGGAAGCCTGCGCATGTGCATCGATTACCGAGCTCTCAACAAGCAGACCATCAAGAACAAATACCCAATCCCACGAATCGATGACCTGCTTGACCAGCTTCGTGGAGCCACGGTATTTTCCAAACTAGATATGCGGTCCGGATACTGGCAGATACGAATGGCGGACAATTCCATCCACAAAACTGCTTTTCGAACTCAGTACGGATCGTACGAGTATCTGGTAATGCCATTCGGACTCACCAACGCACCGGCAACGTTCCAAGCCGAAATTAACCATATTCTACGCCCACTCTTGGACGAATGCGTGGTGCTTTACCTGGACGACATCCTCATATACTCACGCGACATGCAGCAGCACGTCCCACACCTGCAACGCGTCTTCGACATTCTTTGACGAGAACGATTCTACGTCAAATTATCCAAGAGCGAATTCGCCCTTGAGAAAGTCCAATTCCTATGACACATGGTGAGCGCTCAAGGAGTTCACGTCGACCCCAAGAAGATCGAAGCCATACGCACGTGGAAGACACCCAAGAACGTGAAGGAGTTGCAGCAGTTCCAAGGCTTCGCTATCTATTACAACAGGTGGCGTACCCACGATTCCTTCCACGTCAACCTCCTTTGACAGTTTGTCGTGAACATGACTGATCTCGACCGTCAACGAGTCTTTCATTCGATCAGACCCGTCTTAGAGCCAACTACCAAACTACAGCAGATCCTTTTCCACCGAATCCGCCGCGACCAAGGTCAATGGGTTTTGGAGTTTCTGGTTCAATTGGTTGACCGTACGTGCGACGATGACATGTGGGTCCCAGCCGCTACCCTCGACAACCACCCGCTGGTGCAGGCCTATTTAGACGATTGGGCTGCCCTAGATGTGGGTAGTCTTGTTTAGAAGGGGGGAAGGTGTAAGGAAAACCTCTTTTCCTTATTGAGCCTTGTGGCTTGCGTTGTGCACCATGGCTCTACGAAGGTGGGATGCGGTGGCGCCGATGCGCTGGCCTCCATCCAGGTGTGGAATAGGCCTTTGATCTTGGCCATACCTTCGGCATGGCACTCACTTAGAGTGGCGGCTAGCAGATTCGCGCCCGCCATAGTCGCTGTAGCGTTGGCACGGCGGCGGGCGGGCAGAGGATCGGGTGGCGGGCGTCGACCCTGTAGGTGAAGGGGAGCTTCCCACTTTGCAAGGGTGTAGATAGGAGGTTAGTTATCGAGGGGGGAGGGGAGGGAGGTGTGACGGCTGATATCAATTTAGATGTTTGCAGAGCAATGCTTTATAAGAGCCATGTTCTTTAAAGCCCGCAGCCCAAATTGCAAGCACAGGGTGTCAAACGCCCTGCGTTTGAAAGGGGCAGTTGGAGGGGTTACTAGAACTGAAGTGTGTTGTTTGTCGCCAGTGCAAGTCCCTCGGCAAACACTGAAGTTGAAACAGCCTGCGTTTTGGGACTCGGCAAACACACAGAATTCTCTGATTTCGACGGTCGAGATTTTTCGAGCTCGGATATACAGCTCGGTACTGATTGCAGATTGTCGATTTGAAAACTTTCAGCTTTTTGGGTTTGGGCCATCGGACCGGTCTTACGTTAATTGGATGGCCCAGACTTCAAGGATTTTTACCAAACCTGTTTCAGCAGACAAAACACGAATGCTTCTTATTGGCTGACAGCAACCACCTCTCCAGTTACGACAACGAAATTTCATGCTTCTGCGATATTTTCTCTGAATTCACTAAAACCACTGCTCACGTTCATAAGCGCTGCGTACGAACAATTTGGGCAGCGGGCTTCAAAGTGATAAAAAACGTAGACACACGCATAACATACCTGTAATCGTAGGCGTGCCACCACGAGCAACTGCTCCGAGTGGGATGTGCAGGCTCGGATCCGCCGTCAGGTCTGCGGCTCCACCACCCTCGACCACATGCGGCTCCACTACCGTCGTGTTCTTGAGGATCAGGTACACGTAGTTGTACCAAGGCGTTTTGAGCACCGTCCCACCGCCCGAAGCCATGTCACCCTTTGTAATGTTGCGGTATTCCATCACCAGCCTCTTGCACGCCGCGACCTCTCGGCACCATTCTAGTTCCAATCCACGAATATGCACGATGGGTTTCTCCCAGTATTGGGAGCCCTCCTTTCCCACCATCGATATGTGGTCTTCGTTAATTAACCAATGGCCGGCGGCAAGCATCGTCGACTCACGTAGCGTCCACTGCGAGCAGGGCTTCCCTTGAGGGACTGCCGCACGCATAGTGCGAGCGGGAGTCGCGGCTGCAGTCGTGCGCCTTGTACTAGGCGCCCCGCGCTTCAATGGGGGTGCGACGGGCGGTGGCACTGGCGCGGAGGCAAACTCGTAGTACTCGTCCTCTTTGTTCGCGTTGTCGTCAGCCGCCTTTCCACTGCTCTCATCGGTTGCGCCGATATCATTCTCGTAGCCAGCGCTGGGGCGAAGCTGCGTCTTCTGATGGAGCGGCGGACGAGAGTTGTTGAGCATGGGGCTCTGCTGGTTTGGCGTACTCGCCCACATGTGACGGAGCGGGTGCGATAAGCCCTCCTGGCTTGCAAGCTA